GTAAGCACACACCGGGTGCCGAAGTGGTTCCGCCAGGCTTCCACAACTCCGAGCTTCTCCAGACCATCAAGACCGCAAATAGCGTTTACAGAACGCGAGGACCAACCAAACCGTTCACATAGAATGGGGTGAATCCTGTCGAGGCATGCATCACGTTAAATATATGGAAAAGCAATGAGTGAGAGTATCATGATTCTTTGCTTTGGCTTTTCAGCACACACGCCACGAAGCATATCACCAATAACGCGATTCACGCGCCCGTTTGACCATAAATAAGCGAATGGTCCGCCGTAAACATGTTCAATTTAATCTCAGCAATTTTAAGGACTGACGTCCAAACCTTTCCCGTAAACGGGCGTCATCAACCAGAGAAGACTGCCACAGGCAAATCGTGTTGTCTAAACGCACGATCCGCGAAAAGCTTTACTGTTCCTTCTCCATCAATAGTGTCCGGCACTGCCGCTTAATGAGCCATCTTGATCAGTCAGCCAATAAAGACCACGATCACAGTTTTGCCTGCCGCGTCGCGCGGTTGGCCAAACACAGAGTCCATGCTGATGAACTGCCACGACCCACAGGGGACAGGCAAACCCGCCAAACCCGCAGCCATATTAGGCGAGAATTTCACCCTTTGACACGTTTTAGGCGTGCGTACATATGTATCAACCAATTTATACAACATGGGACACCAATATTGGGTGCTCAGTGAGCTCTAGGTCTTTTTCGACCTAAATTACCACCGAGTGGTTTATCATGAGCCTCATAAAGTATCTGATACTTGAGGTCCTCATAACGAGACACCACAACATGAGGCTGGTCATCCGACCCTGTACTATAGTACAACAGACCATTGGTCGGTACAGAACGATGTAATCTCCTACGAATGCGTGGGGACAGCTTCACCTTCGAGTTTCTAATCTCTGCGCTACCTAGCGCCTGAAGAATGGCGACACAAGCCTCATCACATGTATACACCACACGGATACAATCCGTTACTGACGAACTCACAACAGTGAGATGAGCAAGCTCATAGTCAGGTCTACGCGATAACGCTTCAGCCAAAACATTCTGTTTTCCCGACTTATTCTGTTCCCGACTTATACTTCACCTCAAAGTTATACTCCGCAAAAAGGAGAGCCAACGAGCCATTCTCTGCGAGAGATGAGGCGACTGTGTCGCTGTGCGTAATGACGCATGATCGGTATAGATCACAAACGGATTCAAGCCCAACAGATGTACCCTGAACTTAACAAGGGCACACTTCATCTCAAGTAGCTCCTTACCATGAACTGGGTGGTTCTTCTCTGCAACTTTTAGCTGGCAAGACTCAAACGCAATGACGCGTTCTCGACCCTCAGAGTCAACTCGAAAAAGTGCGCTGCCAATGGCAAAGTCCGACGCGTCACATACGACGCTAAACAGGCGATTAAGATCAGGTAAAGCCAGAATTGGCGCCTGAAGGAGACTCTCCTTAATGGCTTCAAAAGCCTCGTGGTGCTCGGTGCTCCAACACCATTCCACATCGTTTTTAAGGAGATTCGACAAAGGTCTAGCCACTTCCGCATAGTTGTGGTTATACTTATGCAAGAAACTTGCCAATCCCAACCACTTTTGTAGGTCCTTTTCGGATCCTCGGAACCGGCCTATACACTATGGCTTTGACCTTAACAGGGTCTGCCCGGATTCCTCTCTTCCCAATGAAGCACCAAAAAAAGGAATCTCTTCCGCACAGAAGATGCAATTGTCAATATTGGCATACAACTTATGCATCCACATGCAACCGAGCACAGCTCGCAGGTGCTCGATGTGATTCTCCACATCAGTCTTGCCATTTTCGGCTCGTTTATGAACAAATACATTGTTAAAGTATGTATTTGAATACGCCTATGGGGCCGAAACAACTGCGTCACCAGACGATTGAGCGTTGCAGGTCGTTAAACAGCCCTTGGGGCATCACTAACTACTCCCAGAGCATACCGCTCGGAGTGCTGACCGCTGTCAGCGGGATATCACTAACTCGCATGAGCAGTTAGCAATATACATCGACTAAGTCGAGGGCACTGTACATTGTACATCCCACCATGTTGTTCTGAAAAACATCCTTGCGAGGAATCGATGTTTGAGCCGGGATAGTGGCTGCATTCAGCTTATTGTAAGCATGCACGATTCGCTACTTCCCATTAGGCTTTCTCACACAAAACGTAGGCGTAGAGTCAGGAGGCTTACTCTCACGCACCATGATGGCCGCGTGCTTCGAACAAAAGAACTCGTCAATGGCGTCACCGTGTTCTCGTGGCAGCGGCCACTGTCGCGTCACACATAATTTAGCTCCTGGAACCAAGTCAATCTCATGACGTACACCTCTATCCGAAGGTAACCTCGTAGGAGGTTCTCTGGAGACAACATCTCCATATTCCTTCAACAAAGTAAATTAAGGATCCGATGGGTCCTTCAAGATCTGCGATCCACTGGGCGCATTCAGGGCCTTCTTGATATGTTCAAGAACTGCTTGATCCATTAGCAATGAGGAGTCTAAGTCCTCCGCAGGTCGTATAACGACCACTTTGGTGATGTCATCTACCTGTATGGCAATTCCAAAACTCGGCATAGTACAACTCTTCCAGCTCTAACAGAGCACTTACAGTGGGTATAGCCGACAGAGTACCCGTCATTTAAACACCTTTAATTAAACCATTGACGAGTGTATATAGCTGTTCGCTATCACCGTCACTCACGATATTATCATCGCTACTCTCGATGCTCTCAGTATCCGACGCAACCACGTCTACTGGTGTAAACATTTCAAGGTCAAAGACAACTCAACTCACTAACTGCACCCCCTGTGACAGGCCAACCACGGACATTTCTCCGATGCCCATTCTTACGAAGAGTAATCACAGACCCAGGTGCGTGATCGACTTCAAGTACTACAGATGTAGCAGAGCTCCCATAGCAAAGCTACTTGCAGCTATACATCTCAGGTTTCTTTACCCTCTCAAAGCTAGCGTTACAAGTTTTAGATTTTTATATTGAATGACCATGTCTCCAAGATACCTGTATCAAATATACAACTTCCTTTATTTCAGAAACCAATGCTCTAGCAACTAATGCTATACAGAGCTGTTGAAATCTGATACGTGGTGGAATGGGTCTTCAAAACTGCGTAAAGAGACACCAATCCTCTCACTCTATCGTACTGCGGACTGTCGGAGCTGGTACCCCGATGCCGCGTATAGACCTTCCCTCACCTTGTGTACCCGTCGGCGGGAGGGTTCCACTGCTTGGAGCCCTTGGTTGAGATGTGATGCCGGCCTTGAGAGAGGTCGACCTTGGGGTGCCTAGAGTTGGTATACTTCACTCGGTAGGCGGATAGGTGGCCACTCGGTCGACTAGGTCGAGGGTGGACTTATAACCAAATTCTTCAGGGGAGATACTGAACCCTGGCCTTTTCCTTCCTTGATGTCTCAGGGGTGTTAAAGCCTGGCCTTTACCTGCTCCCGGACCACTAGGGTAGAGAGACCGCTTCCGATAGCGGGTTGAGTTGGGGGGGGGTTGCTACTCGGACGAACCCACAGGATAAATTTATACTGGGGTTCCATTCGCACTTGGGTCTTACCACACAACTGTCTTCGACGGGGAGCCAATATATCCCTTCCCGGAACAGGTGGGTAGACTTAGTAGGTACCTTGAAAGCACGACGGAGGTGTGCTATATAGATCGCAAATTGAGTAGTATTTAATACGGTCCTATCTTTTAACATCTTCACTCTATCCTTACCCCCGAAACCTGATTCTTGACTCTGATTGCTAGGGTTCCTGGACCTATGGATCAGGGACCGGGGCCAAGTGTCCATCGTGTGAAGGGCTAAGGGATATTGACCGAATGACTAAGTTCTATGAGGATTTAAGCTCGACATTTAGGGACCGGGGTTGAGGGTCCACCGACGAAAGGAACGAGGTTTAACTCGAGGCACCGAGGTCTATTGATGAAGAACTAAGGTCGACCTCCTAGGATTGGGGTCGAGTGTACAACGACGAAGGACAAAGATCTACCTTTAGAGACCGTGGCCTATTGACGAAGGACCAAGGTCAGCTGGTCCTTGGGCTTTCAATTTTTTAATACGCTTCACCTCAGATTCATTTAATGTTTATCTTCTAGCACTGAATATAAAAGCACCTACTCTATACTTCGTCCTAGTGACTAAAATACTGGCTTTGTGGCCTATTTACATGCATACCTATGCATTTAAAATGCCTAAAAAACTAAGTATAATGACCACGTAGCATTCTGCTACCCTTTGTACCTTGGATACAGTCACCAGTGTACCCAGAGTATACCCACACCAAAATGGTGTGGCAGGTATAAATGTACAATACACACCTTTGTGTAACGCTATTACATCAAAGGCGAAAAGAATGATCTCGGTGCAAGGGCGAAAAAGGACAATCTTGCGGGTCTTACCGCTCCGATCGGATCGCATGAGCCAGGCAAGGTCCATGTTCAAAAATAGTAGGATGTCGACTGAAGCAATGGGTGTGTTCTACGTTTGTGCGGCACAAAAGTATATATTTAATGCACATTACAAGAATAGGTAAACAACACAAAGACACCTGCATAGTAAAGCGGGATCATACCAGATAACAAGAGTGTTCCTTCGTGCCACTGCAGATGTCGCTACTTTAAGCACGTATACTTCCGTTTCTGGCAGCGGCGTTGTGATTTTTCGCTCATTAGCTTACTCGATCTTGGGCGAATATACAAGCGCTGTATACGCCGTGCGTCTGCTGTGAAAATATATGATGCATACGAGTCTTAGTTAATCCAGTACTCAATAGATCTGTGAGGAATATGGCAGTTCATTACATGATCAATGTACAAAGTACACATGACTTGTAAGTGAATCAAGTAATGGATATACTGCACAGGTTGAAATTTTTGCAATTTGGGTGGGTTACATGTGAAATTCACTTTGAGTGCCAACGATGAGGAGCTTGCGACACTCACGCGATACTGCCAACAGAGCGTGGGGTTTCGAGCAGCTGCAGCAGCAGCTCCTGATACTCACCGCTAACTCTTGCTTGAATGCGGTCATGCAGAGACATCTTGTACTTCTTCTCGTAAGCAGCCTTGATGTTGCTCATGTACGGGTGGTATCGTACAACTGCAGCCGAAAGAGCCGTCTTGTCGGTGCCAACGCCAGCCATCGTGCCTTCAATGTAGTCAGCAAGGAACGGCCAAGCATTAAGGCTTATGTGGACTAACAAAGAAAGTATTATGTTAGTTCTATTAGAAGTTGACAGTATGTGAAATAATACATTCTGCTTACCGAAGAACAAGAGAGCGGCGCCGTCGCTCCCGCTAAACTCGTTCTCAATGGCGTAAACCAAGTCTCGCTCATGTTTAGCCTGGTACGCGGCGTTGATATTACGCAGGTGCTCAGGCGGGCTTGATAAAAGCACCTTAATGAACACGTTTTCTTCTGTTCCCCACTTTCCTTCTCCAGCGTTGTAAAGGATCTCAGCGTCATCGATAGCTTTTTCCTTTGTGTGGAATGACGGCTTATAGTCAACCATTGGCTCCTGAATATTTAGCAATACATAATCGGACGGATAGGTTTACATTGGTACATATCAGATTGTAGAATTGAAAGAAATATGACTTACCTGGAGTGCCTTCATGATGACTGACAAAAAGTCACCACTGATTTCGTCATTGATTGCAACAGAAAGATCTGTGTCGTACATTTCAAAATAGGCCTTCTTTAGCAGCCCAATTTCTTCATTAGGGCGACCCATTATAATCGAGTAGATCAACTGGTCCGTAGTGCCGGCTCCCTTCATGGCGTGAAAGAGCATGTAGGCTTCGGCTTCAGGAAGACTGAAGCAGATAAGCTGCAGCAAATAACCGAGAGCTCCAGACGTCTCACTCTTGACTTGATCACGCAACGATTGCTTGTATAGCTCCTTGTAGCGAAGCGAGATCAGTCCACGATCATTCGGTGTCAGCGGGCCAATCAGCTTCACAAGAGCCTTGTCATCTGTCCCTAGACCTTCACAGGCTGCGTGGATCTGCTCTACAAGTGCGTCGATAGAGGCTGAAAAGTGTGTCTTCTCTTTCTTGTAGGCGTCAAACGCGGACGGTGGGTACAGGTTCAGCATCTTGAGGTCGTGTTCGGTGGAAGAGGATGTTTATAATAGGTAGCAAATTCAACAATGGGCAGGAGTAGTGGGTGAGCAACCACTTTCGTCACGAATGACAGCTGAGACTCAGTCCTGAATACTGAAGTCTACGATAAAGAGAGTAAACTGAGTTAAATATTGCTGACGTCACGCAAAGATATCAGTATTTTGTCAAGCTCAAATGATTTGTCTATCAAATATGATTGGCTAAACTCATCCCTGAATTTTTACTGGATTTCACTGACATCGACGATAAAAGATGATGAACAAGCGTAAGGTACCAGTGACATCCAATACAAGCAGTTATCAAATTAAAACAATTTAATGCGAATATGCTATGCGTCTGTCTACTCTCTTTTTAATTGTTATAAATCAACAAACCTTGCTGGACTGCTGTATTGTGCCTATAAAACTAGATTGACTAGAACTAACATATTCGTAACGCTATTGCTGCAATGTACTCGGAGCTGCCTCTGGCCAAAAACCAGCTGTCCTTACTTCACGCCAACAACTCGACACATGAAAATTCCATAACCATGATTGAGAGCTCGTCTTTCGTGTCGTACTCAATCGTATAAAAGAGTTGCAAAGAATCGCATTGGTCAGGTGCGGTGATTCACACACCAAAAGTCGTGGTGGAATTGAGGCTGCTTTGTTTAAATAATATTTTATGACAATAACCGCAAATTGGCCGCAAAATGGCAAATTGCACGTGGTTTTGTAGCGTATTCTCATGTATTAACTACACTCTAGAGAGTTCAAACGCAAACTTGAGATCTCGTGGCCGACATGGGCATTGCGGTGAGTCTCTGTCTCTTTGATCTTCTACCGCTACTTTCGGGCGATTTATTATGCGAAAAATTTGTGAAGATTTACAACGTTTACCGCGGGAGTTAGTTATCTATCCTTTTAATAAAGTGGCAAAATCAATTTGCTGCGATGATAAGTTGTTAGTATTATCAGACTCTTCAAAACTATCCCTCCAAACTACGACGTCCTGTCATAACACGAATGGCAGAACGTTTGTCCTTGTCTTTCTCGAAAAAACGCGAGAAGAGCAGGCAGAGGCAGTAGTGAAATGGTTGAAGTGTCTGAAAAACGGGGATAACGGCGGACGAGCTATTCGGCGACGCACGGTTTTTTTTACACGAAGGGTCTATGAAGAGCGCTTGCTAAGAGTCGCCTACAGCGGATTTTAAGTTTGGGCTTATAGCGGAGGCTCTGAGATTAGTTGGGATATGTAGCTAGACGAAGACCGTATAGCTGATACGAACAAGTAGACTGGGACATTGTGGTGGCAAGATTCACAGAACCTGCCGCTACAGCTATAGATACACCTGTGAAGATCGATTGGAGGCTAACAACATTGAAGCGTTAGTTAAATGAACGGCGCTTAAACGATAGAAAAGTGGAATTAGCACCAAAAAAATGCGTGCTACTGCCGAAAAAAAGATTGCGTGAATTTTTTGGATGGTTTTGTATGTATGTATGTATGTAAGCGGTTTACGCGAGCCGTCTTGCCACCGAAGTGGGTCAACTTCCGCATGCATCAGGTTATCTCTCCTTCCCTATATTTCTCTCTACTCTCGCCAGGGTCCATGAAGCGGCGAGCTATAAGCGCCGCGTTAAAGGCCGTCCAGACTGCACGATCCTGTGTACATTGGCAAAGGAGGTACAGGTGTGGGCCCAGTCGACAGCGGTGTCCAGCGTGGTTTCTTGCTTGATCCCTTGGATGTCTGTCTTGTCAGCAGGGCCAGGGAGGGTTCTCGTTGCTTGCACCGTGAACAAAGAATGACGCGAGCGTACCTAAGCGATGATGCCGGGACTTCGGGCTCCCGGCGTGGCGGCGTACATCGTAGCGGCTTGACTGGCGGCTGGGGGGGGAGCGACCAGAGAGAGGTGTGATGGGAGAGGAAACCCGTCCAAACTGACGGATAACGCAAAGCACCCGTCGGAGGCCTGAGCTAGCATCAGCTAGCCCAAGCCTTCCGGAAGGGCGTTACCCCAACCCGACCAGGCTGATGGTTATGTAATTCTTCAAATTCGATCTCACCACGAGTTCTCTATAGGACAGCCGCCACATTGGTGATGTGCACAAACATTGCATCGTTGGCCTTGATGATGTCAACCATAACTCTAGTCTTTGCACCATATGTGACCGAACATAGGCTAAACGATTTCCGCGCGCAAATCACCTATTTAAGCCTAAGTAAAGGTCTCCTAAATATACCGGCTTTTATTGAGATGTCGACTCAGCAATCTATAGTAATTCAAATAATCACCAGATCTTTAGCAGTCTGTCCACTAGCCTCTCAGTCAGGACCTTGAAAGTTATTAACATTGGTAACCTGCCCACCTCGTCTGACTTATGATGTAACAGTCTATCCGCACCAATCTATCCCAGCTTTGTGTCCCGCCTTGTAAAAGCAACCTCGAAACGGTGGTTGGCGTGTGTAATGGCGTAGGAAAGACTGCTTTACATAAATTCTTGCGTTGTTGAACGGACCTCGGCTGTAGCCGAACTACTGTAGCTACTCTACTTATGCACTATGTGCAGATGCACTATGTGCAGAAGAAGTAGTCAAATTTCTGTTGCAAAGCTACCTATGCACTATGTGCAGAGGAAGACAAGCTCAAAGAGCTTCTACGTCTTAGGGTGTTTAACAATCCTAGGCTAGCTCGTAAGCTTGTGCCTATCGGTATTTATAACCGAGTCTCAAAGATACTAGTATCAAAGATACTTAATTCCTCAGGTGGAATAGTACGCTCAAGCTGTAAGGCTTACAGAGCAGGTTTAAAACTGATTTTTATACTTATGTTTATCTTCTAACGCTAAATATAGAAGCACCTACCCTATACTTAGCGTTAGTCACTATTTCTGGCTCTGTAGCCGATTAATATGCAAACATGCATAGTCACTATACTTTAACTAAGTATAGTGACCACGTGATTCTCTGCCAGGATGTGACCCTTGTTACTTCACGTACGGTCACATCACCTATTATTGTACCCAAGGTACAGCCAAACCGCACTGGTGTGGTAGGTGAGTATGTAAAATACACGCCTTCAGGTAACCCCGTTACACCCTTCCCCACCAATCCGTGGGAACCGACGTTTCTACGAATTTTTGCGGCATCGATTTCATTTTCTTCTTATTTTGCTTACCTCGCAATAAGTGCTTGCACTTGCGTCTAAAGGTTCTGTGTTTGTAACACTTGCCCTTTGAGCATCCGTGCATTGCATACACGCTTTATAAGCATCCTACTGTTAAGACACTCACGCTTAAGCACTAAGTGTTACAACACTTGCTTTTAAGCGTTAAGAGCCAAGCACTTGGTACTATTAATACCCTTTGTGTTCACAAACACTTGATTTCACAGCACAAGGTGCCTAGCACATGCTATTAAGCAATACAGTGTTTATAACACTTGCTTTTAAGCAATACAGTGTTCGCAACACTTGCTTTTATGAATTACAGTGTTCAAACCACACACTTGCATTAAACATCACAGTGTTCACGAACACTTGCTTTTATAGAGAACTTGTCTCAATAGCGCTTGCTCCATTATGGGTGAAGCATTGCGTCACTTTCAAAGACGATGACAGTGACGTTGCCTCTACGGGCGGCGGAGCCAAGTCACCTTCGGGTCCAAGTAAGCCAAGATTATCACGCTCACCGAGTGAGGAACATCGATCCCATTCTGTGCCGTCCCCTCTAACGGAGACAACCCCTTTGCGCCAAGCGCCTCCTCTTCCGTCGCGAGACGGTGCAGACAAAGAGGTAACCAACCCTCTTGACGCTGCACAGCGTCGTCAACTTGATCACGAGGCCCAGGCGGCCGCCTTGGCACGGCCCAAACAATTTTTTTCACGACGTGATTACGGGTTTGTGCCACCGGGACCCCAATGAGGAAGCTCGACGAGCTGCATCGCAATCGTTGCGAGCCTTTATCATTAGGTCCCATGCCCGTACGGACTGCGAGAATGCTGATAGTGCTGCTCTTCGTGAGCGGTTCCTTACTCCCCAAGAGTTTACGATGAAATCGTATCCAAAGTGACTGTCACAACAGTCACGTGGGGTGCTCGTGCACCCACTTAACGGCATACCAGTGGTGCTTGCACCAGGTGAAACATCTGCACAAGATGATCACCAGCTCACTTGTTGGGTAGAACGAGCATGTAAGCTCTCAAGTTTGTCAAACTTACTTTAAGCGCTAAAATGCAAGACATTTGGTTAGAACGTCGTCTACGTTTTAGCTTTGCTAAACTCAAAGCGAAACGTCAATTACCTTCCACAAACAAGTCAAAGACTTGTGGGTGGTAAGTATCTGAAGCTGTTGCTAGTACCTCTCACACGAGTGATGTTCCGGCGTCGGCTTCTTCTGAAGGTCAGAGGCGAAACCAGCCTACTGACCCTACTTCCACAGCATCTAGTGCTAAGAAGCGTCCGACGATGGATGTCGTCGTTTCTGACCGTCCTGGTCAAAAGCGTCGACGGCGTCAGGGCAATCCTGCCGGAGGGGCACCTTATACTTCCACGAGTCATACGACTTGAAGCAACCCCTCCACTTCACTAAGTATTGGGTATGACCAGGTAACGACGCCGAGCCAAGAGGCGTTCCACGTGGAACTGTTGATGACCCTGGTCATCAACTAACGTTGGAAGAGGTCGATGACCCATTAACCTCTCATCTCTTTAAGATTTAGCGTCACAGGACGCTCCTGGAGCGTGATGCCCTTGCATCGGTGAGGTCTTACCTGTCATCGCTCGATGACCGTGTCGATCGACACCGTCGGTCTTTTGAGCGTTATCGCTCAGAGACCTTAAATCGCTTAACGGCGATTGAGCGCTCTCAAGCCGAACTGCGATGTCAGATCGACCTCCTGGAACGCCTTCAGCGTCCATATGCACCTCCGGTGCATTACTTACCGCCTCCTTCGGCCGGGCATTCGGGGACAACCCCTCGAAGTCCACCGAG